AAGGTTTGTTGCCTAGCCTTATCACAAGAAATCAGTTTGGTTTTGTTAAAGGAGTAGCATTACTAAGAAATTATATTAGCGCAATAGATTATTACTGATATCAGAAAAAGAGACATTGTTTTCAATGTTGTAATAAAGCTTGATATGGCAAAAACATATGATAGACTGGACTGAACTTTCTTGTTTTAAAGTTCTGGAGAAACTGGGATTTCATAACCAAGTAGTAGACAAGATTTGAAGATTAATTGCTAATAATTGGTATTCATTTCTTATAACTAGTTGAGTACAATATTATTTTTATTCTACTAGAGGTGTTAAGGGGACCCCGATACCCTGCATTGTTCATATTGTCCGCTGAAGTATTGGCTAGAGCTGTGAATGCCCTCGTAACAGCCCAAAAAATTCTAATTGAAGGCTTAAATCATTCTCTGAATGCGTATAGGCCTGAACTCGTTGATTTCTAAATAGGTGTTAAGATTAATTCTTAAGTGTGGGAAATGTATTGGATGTGAATTTAGGTCATAAGGAACATCTAGCACAATATCGGGTTCAAAGATTCCTTACTGATTAAGTTTTGGTATAACATTTTACTTAGGTCAACTTCAAACGATCATATCTCTCCGATTATGAAGAATTATGTTATCAATGACCTATCAAATTAAAGGCCTATGGGTCTTTTTTCTAACACCGTTGATCGTTCGTCAATCAGAGACCAAAGTAAAAGGTTATGATTTATTTACCAGAGACGCTCCAACCTGGATGATCAGTCCATGAGAAGGTCCATATCACGGAGATGAAGTGGACCTCACTGTCCTTTTTAATAAAAAAATTTCTTCTAGCTCCGTGACACAGAGCCAATGCAGGTTTGGGCAAAAAATTCACAGGCTTGTATTTTTTTAGGCTATTTTGTCCTAAAAGTCTCTAGGGAGTTATCTAATTGCCCCTAAATGTGTCGGAAATAAGTTTTTCATTAAACCCTCTCATTCGCTCCTAAATTCCTACGCTCAAGAAACTTCAAGCCTAGGGTTCATCATTGTGAAAGCAGTGGGAAGAATGAGCCACGCAGATGAGAATGAAATGTGGATGGTTATTCCAATATGGAGGACGAGTCAATGGGACAAGGTGTAGCCGGAACTATTCCCTTACCGCCAATTGTAGGAAATGTCATGTTCCATTTCACAAATATTATGTTATACCTCCAAATAAAATGACACTTCGACGGGTTAGCAAGTGAGATGCCAACCGCCACATCCTGATCTTTCGTAAAACAAGTCAATCCTTCAATTTAACCAACATCAGCCATGAATCAATACGACTAAGGTTGTTCTGCTTTCTTTTACGGGGAAAGCCACAACATTGCTTGAGGAGTTTTCATAAGGCTCTGTCACTACATGGAACGAGCTAACGAATGCGTTCCTTGAAAGATTTTTCCACCCTCACGAATGCTTTAATTGAGGGATGAGATCAATAACTTTCATCGACTATTGGGTGAACCGATTCATGAGGTATGGTTAAGATATAAAAAGGTTGCCTAGTGTCCCAACCATGTGATTTCTAAGGGAGTCTTGAACAAAATTTCTATTGGTCCTTGGATTCAATCAACAAGGCCTTGGAAAACAACTTAGCATGAATCCAACAATTTAAAATACTCATTTTTAGTGCAATTTTGAAGTAATCACGGAACAGATCATTATAACATCAATCACTTCTTGAATACCCCACAATTTTCATCGACAAAAACTATAATATTTGAATGAAATCATAATTTGAAATCTTTGACTTATGAACATTGTAATGGATGAATGATCCTCACATTCTCTGCAAATCCTATCGTTCTTTAAATCAAAGCATTTTCAGAAAAAAAATTTCAGACAAGATAAAATTATTGAGGTTGTTTTTAAGCACAAAACAAAAATAAGAAAAAAAAAAGAGAGAAAGATCAATGTTAAGAAAAAAGTGCAAGTTAAAATGTAGACAAAAAGTTTCAGCACCAACTACCAAAGTAGAACTTGAAGAGCAATTTTTTTAAAATTATAGTATGTTGTTTTTTAAAAATGGGGCAGCAAAAAGAATGATTGAAATATCTCTCAATGGATTGAAATGACTTTCAATGATTTTATTAAGCATCGAGAAGCTTTAAATAGCCAACATAAAAATATAATCCACATAATTTGAAATTTGAAACAACCTAAAATATCTCAACAATTCAAACAACCCAATTAAAATTCAAAACTCAAATTCATCTTAAATTAAACAACTTATTTTATTAAAAGTTATTGCAGTAGCTAAATGAAAACTTCAACAGTCCTCATTTGCTATAATTATTGCAATTAAAAAAAATGTTCCTCCTCAATGTTTGCTTTGGTAGTTGATGCTGAATTCTTTTCATTGTTTTGAACTTGCAATTTTTTTTTCTTTCATTTTGTTTTGATTTTGTTCTTCAAAAACACCTTCCATGACATCGTCTTGTTTTTTTAGAAGTTTTTTTGAAAGTGCATTTAATCTTAACTTTTGTAGGATTTGTAAAATATTGTTGTAAAAGTTCTCTTCCTTCATAGCATCACATATCACATAGATTTCAAAATATGTTTTTATTCTCACAGACCAAAATTTGATAGTTTTCGCCTGTGAAAATTTTTGGAGAATCCAAAGAGAGACTGTTACTTGTCATTATTTTTGGTTAAAAATTAGTTTAGAAAATCCTATGCGGTGAAAAAAGCATGGGTTAAAAATAGTAGCCCGGACGGGTTAAAATGAATTGAAAAATAGCCCTTGCGGGTTAAAAGTAGTATGGTAGTTATTTGAAAGATTTCACAGATCCCGTAAGATCAATGAAGCTCTGATACCACTTTTGGTGTTTTTTTTAAAAATGGGGCAATTAAAAGAATGATTGAACTATCTCTCAATGGATTGAAATGTCTTTCAACAACTTTCAATGATTTAATTGAGCATTGAATGACTTTAAATAGCCAACATAAAAAACATAATCTGCATAATTTGAAATTTAAAATAAGCTAAAATATCTCAACAATTCAAATAACATAACAAAAATTCAAAATTCAAATTTATCTTAAACTAAACAACTTATTTTTATTAAAAGTTACTGCAGTAACTAAAAGCAAACTTCAACATAGTAACTAAAGAAAATAGAGACGGTTCAAATTCTCTCTGAGTTATTGCAGTAAATTTTAAACATGATAAGTTGCTTGTTCTAAGATGAATTTGAAATTTAAATTTCTATTAAATTTTGTTTAGTTTGTTAAGATATTTAAGTTTTTCAATTTTAAATTAGGGAAAATGCATAAGTACTCCCCAGCCTATGCCCAAAATCCCTGAGACACACCTAACATTTACTAAGGTCCTATTAACCCCTTGAACTTATTTTTTATATAATTTTCTTCCCCTTTTCGGCCTACGTGACACTATCTTGTGGGCCCACCGCGTGTTGACAATTTTTCAAGGATAGTGCCATGTAGGCCGAAAAGGGGTAGAAAATTAATTAAAAAATAAGTTCCGGGGGGGGGGGGGGGTAATAGGACCTTAGTAAAGGTTAGGTGTGTCTCAGAGATTTTGGGCATAGGCTGGGGGGGTACTTATGAATTTTCCCTTTAAATTATGCATATTTTTTTTTATTTCAAGTTGGTTATTAATAAAAGCCCTCCTATCTGCAAACCATTTTTGTTGTACCACCACTAACAATAACATACCTAGTGTAATCCCAAAAGTGAGGTTTGAAAAATGTGAGATGTACGCAGACCTTACCCAACCATTGTAGGGGTTAAGAGGTTGTTTCGGATAGACGCTCGACTCAAAAAGAAACTTATTCATTGAAGAGTTGCATTTAGAAAAATAGATAACAAAATTATGAGATACAATGAAAATGAAGCAAAATATAGTAAAAACGCATAGGTGAATAGAAAACTACGTGATCATTAAATATTACTACTAATAAATATAAAAGGATATGAGACAAGCTCCCTGCCCCTCCCACCTAACCAGAGACCACATCTCAGCTACCTATTAATTAGCCTTCTACCGTAATCCTCCATCTCCATACCTTCCTATCTAGGCCATATCCTCAATAAGCTGAAGTTGTGTCATGTTTTGTCTAATCACCTCCGCTACTTTGTTTCGGCCTACCTATACCTCTCTCAATTCCTACTACAATTAACCTCTCACACCTCCTAACTGGTGCATTCCCACACCCAGTGGCGGAGCCATAATTTTCATCAAGGGTGTCCATACTTTAGGAAAAGTAAAAAAATAAACCTTGATGGTGAGATTATAAAGATTGGAACGTCACTTTTGTTCTCTAAAAAACGAATCTAATTTTTTTTAAAACAAAACGCCTTAGTTTGGGCTCAAACCTAGGCCCTTGAGGCGATTTTTTTCTCTTAAAAAATGAAACTAAAAAAAATTAAACAAAACACCTTTGTCTGGGTTCAAATCCCAGCCCTTGAAGCAACTTTGAATAGGCTTAACTATTGAGCTATCTTTTTTTAGTATGTCAAGATTGTTCAACAATTTATATATATCCAAAACTATTGATATTTAACATATATACTCGCAAAAAAATTTTCGATGAAAGTTGTTCATCTGACAATCCATGCTAAGGTGTAGCTCAGCCCCTGCCCGCACCCTTACCTTTAAAAAATCCAACAATTGTATTGGCAGTGATGGAGAAACAAGGTGTGTTTAAGATGGGTGCCACAAACCTTAAGCTGCCATTTAAATCGAAAATTAACATCAAATTACACACCTTAGGGTCGGATTTTTGAGGATATTTATGAGACTCACTGAGCCACTAAGGTATCTTTTAAGAGAAAGATCGGTTGGCCATATTGCCAAAATGATACTATAAAATAAATTAGACCTTTCTTTGATTATATATGAGCTGTTGTTTTATATATTGTACTTGCACCTTGAGTTTTTTTTTCCTTTCTGAACTCTCGCTACACCACACTCAATGAATATTTCTATTACCTTTTCTTATATACAATATATATAATTCATATTCATAAACAACTTGTACCATTTTGAATCTCCTATGCTAACTAGTCAAGAAGCAGAACCCTTTGATTCTTGAATATCCAATTCATGTTCAGCAACCATGATGCAAGAATCAGCCTCCAAAGATGATGAGGATGTTTTCCTTTCCTTAAAGGTGTCTTTGGCTGAATTAAGCATCTCAACTGTACACTGAACATCAGGTGTTATTCCCACTTGATCGATGTCATGAAGTGCTGGAGACAAATACTTGGCTACTGTAACAAATAGAGCCGATCCATCGTGCAACTGTGTAACACTCTGCATCAAACACAATTGGATATTGTAAAAGATGAGACTTATAAGCAAAACAGAGAGGGAAATTTTTATCGAGCAAATGTGATACAACACAAGAATGCAAGTTTAAGGGAAAAAGAACTCAAAAGCTTTCGACTAAGTTCACTTTCCATCTAGGAGGTTAATATAATTATAATTTTGACTGCCATGAGACATGTTATGGAAGCGTCAAATCCATCAGAAAGTTAAACAGACTAGTGGGTAACTTTTATATATAGACTGAGAAGGGTTAGCATCCGTCCAAAGTTCAAGCCAAACCTGTATCTTTCCTTTCCCGAAAGTCTTATGCCCGACAAGGATTGCACGACCATTATCATGGAGTGCCCCGGCCAGAATCTCACTAGCACTTGCACTTCCCTCATTCACCTGTTAATAGGGAATCAAAGGCATAAATATTTCATCAACAACTATATCCCTCAGTTCCAATAAATTTGTCTAGTAATAAATACTATGTTGAAGAAAATTATGATATAGTATGAAAAGGATGTCTTAAACTAACAAGGACGACAAGTGGATCGTGTGTTACAGCATGTCCATTGACCATGCTAATTGGTGCCATGTTTCCATCCCTATCAACAGTGTTCACAAGTGTCTCATCGCCATCTAGCCATATCTGGGCAACATCTAACCCAGCCGTAACGAGACCTCCCTGCATAATTTATAAGACAGACACTTGAGATGTCAAAGGGTGAATAGATTAAGTATGAGAGTACACAAGTCAAAGAAAAGGGGTTTTAAAGGAACTTACAGGATTATTCCGAAGATCTAATATATATGATTGCACACCCTGATTTTCCATATCCTGAATTGTGTTTTCCATTTCCATAGCAGCAGACTGTTACATCAAAAACATACAAGTCTTTACTCAATATATGCAAGGGAATTCATTTTGTTTGTCATTTGACGATGAAGGAAAGTCAATGATCTATGACTCTTTAACTACCTGAGAGAAGCTTGACAACTTTACATATCCAGTTTTCAAGAGACGACCATCAGGCATTTTATGAGGGATGATGGCACTGGATACTGGTGAAAGCTTAATCACTTCGCGAGGTAGTTTAACCTTAAAAAATAAAATATGTTAACAAAAATAATTAGAAAGTCAATATATTTTTAATTTAGATAACATGAAATAGCTAGGTGCATGTACTTGAGAAAACATTCACCAAAAAAAATAATAAGCTATTGTCATTTCTTCTTGCACACATCATACCTCTTGATAACTGGATACTCCTGCACCATTACCCTGGTCACGAGAAGAGCAGAAAAAAGTGATAACTTAGAGTTAGAAAGAGCATTCAATTCAATTGAAAGATAGAGAAATTTTCTACAATATGCCTATCAAGATGAAACAATTATTTTTCGTTTGAGAAGCAGCGCGACCATAAGTACTATTCCTGACCAAAGAGGTTGAAAAATTAAGAGAATACACTACTAAAAAATCATTATTTTCCTACTAAAATAATCTATTGAAAAATGTTCTGTGGCTATTTCCATAGATATTTTGACGGAATTGGTTGGAAAAGAAAAAAAGTAATGTTTTCATATGGAAAAAAATTAGTTTCTCACTATTTTAGTGAGAATTTGTTCCCACCATGCATTTTCCGAATGAGTTGGTTCGGAGGGTAATCAGTGTGAAAATCATGTTCTATAGCATAAATTTTCCACAGATTCGCGGTGGAAAACAAACATTATTTCTATTACTGAAGGACACATAATATGTAAAAGAATCACACAGAAAAGGCGGTTGTACAGATTATTTCTGATGAGGTGGTTGTGGATGAAATAAGATTGTTTACATAAATTATTGTTCAGTTGTAAAGGAGTTTCAGTTGGCTCAACGAAAAAGGGGATAAGCTTACTCTGTGAACTTTGACTGTAACAGTTGTACCAGCACGGCCCCTCAGTTTTTGAGCTGCTGTTTCACTGTCAACTCCATCAAGCCTCTCACCTGAAGAAATCAAGCAAAATTCAAGCTCTAATCAAGCTGTTTTATGTGGTTTCTGTTTAAAGGACACAGAGGAGTGCACTGTTCAATGATCGTGGTTTTTAGTCTCGTTTATAAAGTGATTTACGACATTGATACTCACTAACAGAAGTTTTGGAGTTGCCTTTCAGGGAACAGGTTCACCATCAAGAAAGGCTTTCACTGCTTTATTGGCAGTGGTTCTATGTTCTATACAAGTATGTATGTCTGAGTGCCCCTGAGCAAGCATTGTACAAGAACATAAACAACGTGTACCAACAAGATTATATTGAGTAACTGCTGGTATATAAGTCTAAACACTTCTCTGAATTCGTTCAACAATTCACAACTTCTCTCAATAGATTACTCCGAATGAAGAAAACAGTAAGTAGCAGACTGAGAATTTACTCCATCGAACTAAAGTTAAATATAGAACTAGTAACATGAATTAGTATAGAACTGGTCAGATACATTATCTCATATTGAAACCTATAGACATTTGAAAAGGAGATAATGTAACATATAGGATATGGACCATTCTGACACTTTGGACTATTGAACGAATGATTATGCATTCTGTGCTTAAGATTGTTAAACTTCACTATTTGACTTAATGCACTGAGAGTGATGAAAATGGATTTTCGGGGTAATGTAGTAGTAAAACTCAATTATCCACAGGATGGAAGATATTGAACTTTCCGAAGAAAGCTTATAAACAGGACAACAATGCTTCTGCATTCTTCAAACCAACTGCATTTAGGAAAACTCTATTATCCACAGGATGGAAGACCAAGATTTTGAACTTTAGTCAACATCTGTAAGCCATTAGCTTGCTAAGTTCTGCTGATATAAAACTAGTTTGACTAATAAGTAATTACCATTTATCTCAAGCAATTCATCTCCTTCATGAATGCCAGCACGTGCAGCTGGGCTATTCTCCACACAGGACAAAACAACCTGAAATCAATTGTACGTATGATGCAAAAGTTAAATGAAAATTGTTTCCTAGTTTAGACTTTCAGGAGTTGATATATTCTGAATATAGAAACTGTCCTAATAAAGATACCAAACTGTCATTGCTGAAAATATTTAAACTGCACTGTTAAAAACTGATATTTACACCTCAAGAAGCATTTTTATAAGGAAGTAATGTAAGACATACACAAACAAAATCTATTTATGAATAAGAAACCTATACTTTAGGGAATAAAACAAAATAGCAAGTTCATTGGATCATTGTTACTAACCAGGTGGCCTGTATTTGGTTGAACACTGACAAAGAGTCCAACACCTTGTAAATTTCCATCACTTCCTATTCTAAAACTTTGGTACTCCTGTTGAAAATAATGTTACTGTATATGTAATAAAAATATGCAGTTAAGTGTTGTTAACCATAGAAGAAAGATTTGCACCTTAGGACTAATAATGCGTGTATAGGGATCTCCAAGCGTAGATAGCATTCCCCTTACTTTGCTATAGGCAGCATCTTCTGACCTCAATGGAAACATTTCTACCATGGTTTGTTGCAGTTTCAAATCCCAATCTGTGAGATAGATATGTTTCCACAAGCAGTTAGGTTGCTAGCTGATACAATTTAACAGTATGTTTAGGAAATTTGATAAAAACAAAAGTTAAAAGGAGGTTGTATCTCACAAAGTTGCTGTTTCGGCAATAGGAGTTTAGCGGTTCTAAATCTTAAGACAGAAAGAGAAAAATATTGCAAAATATGCTTCTTCTTTTTTTTTTTTTTTAAAAAGAAGTTCGAACCCACAACTTTAGCATGAAAAGCATTTCCATAGCCTCTTCCTTACCATTGAGCCGTCAATCAGGGGTTCACAAGTTAATATACATGCATGCTTTTTAATACAAATATATGGTCTACACAAAAGCTATTGGGTTTGTTCGAAACCCCCTTAGCTCTGACCTGTGTTTTGGTAAATGATTTTACCTTGATGATTGAAAGTTGGATCTACGAATGTCTCTCTAATCAAACTCCAAGCCTCAATTAAGGTCCTCTGAACTGTGTTTACCTATGAAACATTCAATACGCAGGTTTAACTTCTTTTCAGTATTTTATAAAACAAAAAAAAAATAAAAAAATCGATTAGATACCTCAGGTGTGTGAGAGACAGGGAATGCTACAGTTAAAGAGTGAGCGAAAGCTGGAGAATAAGAGGAGAAGGACAAAGCAGTAGCAGCAGCTAATCCAATAACTCCTTTCCCTATCCATTTCATCAAATTTTGATCATTCTCTCTCAGCTTTTTCATAGGAAGCTCCTTTCTCCCACAAGCAACCCCTCTTTTATGTGTTATGGATGGAAATCTATAACAAAATAATGATTTGGAGATTGATGATCCAACATTAATATTTGAGCACAAAGTTTCCATCTTTAATTTCACGATCAATGTACATTACTAATACTACTAATAAATAATACTCCGACTAATAGTAGGAAGAAACTGCCGTGTTGGGGGGTCTACATGAATCTATCAGTTTTGTGGTCGTTAACTTAGTTGCGTAACTGAGTATCTCTCTACCAATTCATCTTCACCTCACAACTGGACCAATAACTCTTTTTTATTTTGTTCAACATTTATTCAACCCATACTAACTGTTAATTATTAAGATTCTTTTTTATTAATTTATAACCCTTATGTCCAAATACATATTTATTTTCTCCTATCATTTACTGCACTGTTTGGTGGGTTTATATGGAATAACTTATAAATCAAAAGTTAAAAGTTATAAGTAGAGGTATTTTATTTTTTACTTATAAAAAATTGGCCTAAAAGTGACCTATTAAAAACATTTTTAACCTTTCCAAACAAAAAAAGTGTTTAAAAGTTAAAAATATCTAAAAATAAGTTAATCCAAACAGGCACTATATATTTTGTTTTAAAAAATAATAGTTCCTATATTCCAATTTATATGACTTACTTTACTTTTAAATCTGTTCCAGAAGAATGATATAATTCTAAATTAAGTAACAATTTAACTTTAAAATATCAATTTAATTACCCTTCATGAAATAATTTATAACCACACAAATATCTATAATTTTCTAGACCACAAATTTCAAAAAAAAAAAAAAGATTCTTCCTCTCATAAATTTCGTACTAAATTAAACTAACTCATATAGAATGGAAATGAGGGAGTAATAGATAATGAATTTTAAACTGTTCAAGATAATAAACACTAAGGGGTCGTTTAGTTATGGGATAAACATAAAGTTAATACATGAATAACTTTGGTTATTCATTTATTCATTTTATACCATGTTTGGTTTCATGTATTACTTTTATACAAGATTTGCTTGATAAGTTATACAAGATTTGGTTGCACTTTTTGTAATCCTACATAATTAATATTTACATAACTTATGAGGAAATCTATGTATAAGTTATGTGTGTATTTAGTTATACATGTATTAAAATAACAAATTACGTATTTACCCTTTTACCATGGCCTAATATATATTTAAGAAAAACTGAACTTTTACCGTTTCTTGTTCTATTTTACTTCCTACTTTTTTAAAAGTAATAAAAACGAATCAAGACAAAAAATGTGAAATTAATTTGCTGATGTTATACTTTTTAGAACTTAAAATATTAATGGTGCCGGAATTATTTGAGATAGCCGCTGTACTGGTGCTATAATTATTTGAGAAATTAAATAATATATTAATTTACAACATATTAAATAATTAATACACGTAAAAAGGTATTATTAAGTTTTCCTTTAGGTTTTTTGTCTTGTAAATTGCTCACTTCTATTCAATACAAATTACTTAATTGTTTTTAATTATTTGTTATTTCCTTTATTGTTTTTAGCTATTCGTGTTAATTTTAATTTGGGATACGGCATAAGTTACCCCCTAGACTATGATCGAAATTTCAGAGACACACCTAAACTTAACTAAGGTCCTATTACCCTCCTGAACTATTTTTTCGTAATTTTGTGCACCTTTTATGCTGACATGACACCTTCAACCACCCAAGTTGGTTGTGTTTGTACACACTCGCCCGCCACGTGTATAAATATTATTTTATTAATTAAAATTATTTTTTTTAAAAAATAAAAAAATTATTTTAAATTTTTTTTTAAAAAGAATATTCTTATTTTCTTTATCTTGTATTTAAATTAAGTTAATACACATTTTTTTACCTTGTATCGGAACTTTTGTTTTACCTACATTCATTATTTTTTCGCTTTTATTTTTCTATTGATTTTCTTTGTATTTCGTTTTGATTTGATTTCAAATTTAATTCCAAATGTTATCTATTTAAAATAAGTTAATTTTGAACGAATATCAAAATAAGTGAAACAAAATCAAATAAAACATTAAAAAAAAACGTTAAAATTAAAGGACACTTTTAATTTTTTTATTTTTTTTTAAAATACACATAATTTTTTAAAAATAATTAAAAGTGAACATAATAAATTAACTAAAAAAATGTTTAGAGTTAAAAAGAAATTAAAATAAATATTTTTCAAAGAAAGAAATAAAAATAATTAAATATATATAAGTTTTAATATCAATAAATATGTGTACTAACTAATTTATAAAGTTACCAATCAAAAAATGACATCTGTTCAATTTGTGCACTCATCACTTGCCTTCAAGATAGTGTGCGCACTCTATGATATGTCAGCGTTTGTGGTGTATTTATTTCATTTTAAATTAGTTTAGGGGGGTGGGGTAATAGGACCCTAGTTAAGTTTAGATGTGTCTCTGGATTTCGGTCATAGTCTAGGGGATACTTATGTCTTATCCCTTTTAATTTTAATTTAATGTGTTATTTAGATAGTTATTTATTTTAATGAGTATAATAAATATTAGCTTACTAAACATTTTGAAATTAAGAAATACTCTCTCTGTCCCTAATTATTTGTCCACTTTTCTTTTTTTAGTTGTCCCTAATTACTTGTCCAATTTGACAAATTAAGAAATGACAATTTTTTTCACATATTATACCCTCAAATCATTACTTTGAAAAAGTAGAACTTCTTGAAACACTTAAGTGTTTATTTCATCCACGTCATAATTAATAGGGGTAAAACGGTAAACTCACTATGTCAATAATTGTTTTCTTAATAGTTGTGTCAATTCAAAAGTGGACAAGTAACTAGGGACAGAGGGACTAGGAATTAGCTCACTATTTTTTAAAAAAAAATCTACATAACTAATACCTACCTAAACCCTTCATAAGTAATACCTTCATAGCTAGACTCTGCATAATTAAACCCTACATAACTAATACCCGCATAACTAGTACCTGCATAACTAAACCCTGCATAACTAATACCTGCATAACTAAATCCTATATAACTAATACCTGGATAACTCTAACCAATAACAAAATGGCCCCTAATTTTTAATGTACATGTTTTACTTTGATGCAAAAATTAAGAAGTCAAGCTTCTCAAGATTGTATGTGAGGCTTGCATAGTTATACCTAATCATTAAAGTCATTAGAGTCACAAGGTTATTAGTAGTTGGAAAAATCATACCACACATATGATCCTATATTATAATATAAAATACTTTTTATTACTCCCTCCATTTAAAAATGAACCACCTAGTTTGACTTGACATGTAGTTTAAGAAGATTAAAAAAAAAAAGATTTTTCGATCTTGTAGTCCTAAATTAAAGTTATGTCAAATATACAAAAATATCATTTAAATTGAAATCCACTGGACCTTAACACAACCATCATGACGAATCTTTTCTAACACAACCAAGATAACCTTCTAAATCAATACTGGCTACAATAAGAAGTGAGCCTAAATCAACCATCAAATATTCATAATGCACAAACTATCACAGATCTTATCAAGATTCCTTCTCACAACAAAATATTTTCACGAACTTAAGTTATAAAAATTTGATCTTTAGACATCGGGTACTCATCAAGGGAGGATCAAACTTATCTAACCCAAAGAAGGAAATGATCAAGTAACCACCCAGCAAGCGAAATACCTAAGCATACAAAATCTTTAACAACACCGTGAGAATGCTAGATTAGTAGTCGTGATTGTAGACAATCCTTAAGAACGGTAGAACTAGATCGAACAATCCCTACATTCAATCACACATATCTGAAGCGTGACCTCAACGATGAGATGACTATTAAAACTATCGAACAACTGTAAGTATTCATGGTATCTCTCTTATAAATTCTCATAAGCAAAGTTATGTGTGTAGAACTACTAGTGTACTTCAACTATTCTAAACAAAACCCAATTTGCTATAACTGAAATGTCTAAGTCTTTCTAAGGATGTCATCCTACCAAGAAGAAAATCGCAGGATCGGTACACTCGATCCACCACTAGAAAATCACTCGTAGATATAGAAACACACGTGAGCATATACAATGAATCATACTCCAAATCATATCAGAAATGAAGTAGGTGATCGCCTAAGAATGTACAGAATCAAGATCGAATAACACAAGATAGTTCTTCCATAATGCTCATATTGAACATTTTCATTCATCTAACTCTTTCTCTTTGCTTTTATTTTTTTACTACCCACAATCAACCTGTATGGTCCCTAGTACAATCATACACATACTTGATTTATAAAACCCTACATACTCCTCATAATACTCCACTAAAGTCAACATTCTTACTACTAATAAAAGAATCATAACCACACATGCCATTTACCTTACACTTAATCCATCACTAGTATCAAAGTCTTCTTAGCATTCTTAGCAACCACACTGTCCGCCTCCAAAATTTCCAAACTATGGCTCAATTTCTTTCATGTAAGCATTTCATGACAAATAATGGTCACACCCAAGGCTGAAAACTTATTCCAATCTGATAGTACTTTCCCATAAAGATAAAGCTATTAAATCACCCCACAGTCAAGTCTGTGCAAACTTTCACATACCATTTTTCAACTACCATTCTACATCATTGCATACCTCATGCCAACACTTAAGAAATTCTTGGTCACTCCAATAATTTTGTATACTATAAGCTCATAACCTCTACTCACCATCAAATACCTATGTAACACATAATATCAGTCTGTATAGTCCCATGAACAAAGTAGTTTCAATCCCCTCAAAATCCTCATTAACCATTTAGAATTGTAGGTCCACACCGTTGAACATCCATAAGTTACCTATCATAACTTGAAAAATCTAGCTCGACATAACCACGTAGAATCTTCCACACATCATTGCTTGTCACCTAAATCAAAACTCAATATTTATAAAAGTCGACGATAAACCCCTAGTAAGTCTGTACTGAACTAGTTCACATCTCACAGTCATATCTAAACTCATAGACAAAAATCAATACAACCTTCAACTACAAATCAAGGGTTTGTACAAGAGGTCTTATTCTTTCACCTTTCTTAAATTCTTTCCATGTCAAAAATTCCAAATACCTTTCTAGACCCTAGACTCTTGTTCTTTTCACTGACTCGCTTACCAAACTTATCCATGACCAACAACCC